ACCGACTCGACCATTCTACAAAACTTGTAAATTTGCAATGGTTAGTTATTATTCACATTTGTTACATTTACATTTGTGTAATTTATTTCAGATTTAGTCAAGGCATCGACCAATAATTTTTGGATCGGACTTACAGACAGCTTGGGTGAAGGAACATGGTGGTGGGAGTACAAGAATTGTGTGGACCATACGGAATTTAATCTGGGTAATCAAACAAGCAAAAATATAGTTTTTAAATTTGAACAGCGAAATACATATTTGAACATCCACAAGCGACATTTAATATAGGTAAATAAAACATACATGAACCATTTTTTTCACTTAGAAAGAGATATAAATATTTCAATAGTTATAGTCCTGTTAGTTCTTGATTTGCGTTCTTGTTAGTATATTCATATGCTTGCAGTGCTTTTGTAAAAAAAATCTTATCTTTAAAAGATGGTGATTTGTGTATTTATCAAACATCTCTCTCTCCAGCCGATCAAACACTATTTTCTATGAAAGACTCAATGAAATTATCAATGACAGAGTCAATGATAACTACCGCTCTCCTGTATTTTTCTCTCGAGAAACTCAATGATAAAGCGTTAGTAGTTATAAAGAGAGAGAGTTTATCAAAACGGAAATAATTCAACTCGTTTAATTAATAAAGCGTTAAACGTAATTATTAATTCTTAATTTCTCAGCGATTGATACAATTGTTTAGGGACAGTTAAACTATTTTTTTTAAAATATAGATCCTCGATCTTCATTTATAATTTATTAATTTAAATAAGATTTTTAAAAAAATAATTAAAACAGGTCTTTGTACTATATTATCAAAAAAAAACAACTAATGAATATAATAAAAAATGTTGACTATTTCTCTTTCTAAACCTATCGAATATCTTTTTTTTTTAAGTTGCAAGGTAATCTTTTATAGAACCTACATGATTAACTTTTCTTCTAATAATAAAAAAAACTCTGAATAAAAACTATTATTCCTACAAATATTAGAGTAGTCTCCCTTGACAGTTTCTATTCGAATGTATTTTGTGTTAATTTTCGTTATGAAATACAGTTGACTTTTTAAATTAATTATATAAGAAAACAATATATCTTTGTGTATATTTATTTTAAAAAATATTACAGTAATTAGAATAGGTGTTTCTGGTTATATAGCAATTATTCTCATTCTAAATCTTTGGCTATCGAGTTTCATGGGTTTTTAAATTTAAGATTATGAACACATTGGCTTGACGAAAATGATTATATACACTTAAATACATACTAAAGTTTACTTTTGTTAATAAACCTACACTATTTTATGCACACATACAAAAAAGAATATTTTAGCGGCAGTTACAACGTCAAAAAAATAAATAAATAAATAAGGAAACTCCTTTATACTGAATAGTTCTACATAACAACAAAAATGTAAAAATACATAGTCCTAGAGCACACTAACACATACATGTATACATACGAAGATATGTGTGGGTGTAAGTAGGATGTGAGGTGGGTAGACAGGCGGGGTGGAAGGAAAGCAGTTTGGCAGGAATAACGGTAGGTAGGAAAGTAGGTAGGCAGGCAGCAGCGCAGGCAGGTTAGTAGATAGGTAGGTACGTAGGCAGGGAGTTAGGTATGTAGGTAGGTGGGCCTAGGTAGGAAGGCGCCTCACTCGGTATAGTGAGCGATTATAGTAGCCCATCATATTCATAGCGTTTCGCAATTATTAAAACGAACAAATGTACCATAGTACTCACGGGAAAACCCGGGGAGCTAAATAGAACCCTGCCGGGGCGCAACCAAATCGAATTTTTTTTTCGCAGAGACCACCACAGGGGTATTAGCATTAGCTTCTCAAATTTGAATGACAAACGAATGCAATCTTTGGTAATGCTTAAACAAACAAACCCACATATTCGTTCGTTTTTTGGGGCGCGGGTTTGTCCACACTGCCGCCTAGACACACCAAGGCTCACTGTATGAAAGCCTTGAGTGTACGTTAATCAACCTCTGTAATAGTGAGGTAGAACACACATTGGCGACCGCCCATGTGTTAGAGACACGTCCCTTGGTGCTCCAGGGAGCCACTGGTTATACTTCCGCAGGGGCGCCCCTAATTCGGTTTAATTATAAAATGGCCTGTGCCACCGTATCCCTATTGTAGGGTGCTCTTTAAAGGAGGCACTCTCGGTAGAGCCCGGGGCGCTCGCTGTCGCCAACTGCCAGGGCGCCGGCGGGCGCTCATTATTCTACTTAGTGAACATTTATAGTAACCCATCTAAACCGTAGTGTCGCCCGAGGTGGGTCTTAGCCGCTCTGGGCCATTCAACCGCCGGGGACCTGGCGGTTGAACCTGGTGTAGTTTTATCATTGAATCTCAGAGGCGTAGCACCATTCCTAGCGCCTGGGGACAAATTTTCAATTTGGCGCCCCCCCCCCCCCCCCTTCCGCCGGGGACAAATTTTCAATTTGGCGTCCCCCCCCCCCCCCCCCGTATTTTTTTATATTTATAATGCAAAACTGTAGCTAAAATGAGCTTTAAAATTTTTCCCACCCATTTTGGCGCCCCCTAGGGTTGGCGCCCGGGGACATATGTACCCCCGGCCCCCCTCGCTACGCCTCTGTTGAATCTAGTATTACCTATGACCGCAATTGATGAGATAGCCCCTCTGGATTCCCCTCTGGATTCTGGGCTCATAATCGTATAATGAGAAAAATCGAACCCTCCCAGGGTGCCACACTTAAGAATTGTTTTCTTTCTCGAAACCCTTTTCACCAACTCCCCAAAATTTTATGACTCTCGTACGAACAGTGTCAAATTGCATCTGGCTTTTATTTTTATAGAGAAAAATTGCATTGCTTCCTGTCAGAGACCCCAGATCGAATGGGGCGCCAAAAGGGGTAGACAATTTTTAAAAAATCCTCATTCTTCAGTAAAATTTAAGAAAACAGATTTATACATGACTGATATCCTCAATTATTTTATATAGGGGAGTGTATGTAGGGATGGGCGCCTTTTTGCCAGCGTTTGAATAGGGTTGGCACAACATTGATAGTTCGCCCCGGGCGCCGGAATAGGTTGCTTCGCCTCTGCTTCCTGCTAGGGCACCGCCCTGGCGAAATCTTTCCGGGGGGGGGGGGGGGGAGCGTGCGGACACTGTTAAAAGAAGTATATATTTTTTCTATATAAATTCCATTTCGTTCGGGGGTGGGGGGGGGGTCGATAGACTTTCTTCGGTGGGTGGGGGGGGCTCTGCTTTCCCCCCCCCCCCGAATAGATTCCTGGAAAAAACTCTGTTCACAAAGTTTTATGGCGATCCGATGAAAAAGATGTAGTAATTCATATAGGACAAACAGATAAACATACTTTCATTTCTATAAATATAAATAGATATATACTTTAACTAGTGTCCGCATACCCGCACCCGGAAACTTAGTCACAATTTTCTTTGTTACATTTGAACCCTTTAGGTTACTCAATATTAACAAAATTGAACAAGATGCAACAAATACAGTTAACCAAGAAATTGAACAAGTAAAATTCACGTTATCTTTTTATTGTTTTTAGATATAGAGTAGTAACAGACTACCTACAGGTCCTAACTCGCGACGAAGTACACATTTGTATTAAAACACAGATCTAAGACATTTTCCATTTAGGTGGGTTTTGCAGTACAGTGGTTTCTTAAGTCGTGGACAAGTGATTGCGCTTATCTCTGTTGAGTAGCAATGTATTCTGTCCTATATTAGACACATTTGTAAATATCTGTCACAATATGGGCATAGAGATGATATAACGATAGCTTATCTTTGCGGACGACGCTAAACTTTGGCATCGACACCACGGCCTACAAGTTCAAATTTGGTCCTTCAGAAATGTTTTCTCTTTTATGTGCATACTGACCACATCACATGTATTTGTTCTGAAAGTCTAAAAACAGAGGCACAAATATATCGTCTAGACTTGTGAGGTCTACAGATTAGGTATTTTGGCAGTTATCTAAGCCCTTGCCTGTTCTGACTCAAAGCCTTATTCTTTCTCTATCGACGCCTTGCGTAACATGGGATTGGGTTTTTAAGGCGGCATAAAGCTTTATGTTGTTCCTTTTTTAGTACACTAGATTAAAAACTAACGTTTTCAGATTCCTAAAGATGTTTAACCACTAATTAATCAGAATAATGGGTCAAGATTTCAATTCTTGGTTTTGGGACACGTTAGTTGCCGGGGTTGAGCTAATGCCGATAGCATAAGGGCTGTACCTTGATGCGGGCGTTTTATTTGTTGCCCATCGTAATAATTGAATGGTTGATGGGGCTTCTTCAAGGGTTTGATTTGCATGTGAGGCTTTTGAAAGAAGAAAATGCGTTAAAACACTTTTTAGTTATGCTTTTTTTAAATAGGCCTATATTTTACGACAACATAATCGTAATGAACAATAAAATGAATTTAAACAATTTTAGAATACACCTGTTTCGGCTAACATGAATATTATTCTTCAAACTAGTAATGTTAAACGTGTCTTTTTTGCATTTTCGACTTATAAGCATTACAGTAAATTCCGATAACGTCCATATGCATACAAGCAATGGCGTAGGCGAGGAGGGGTTTAATAGTGATTTAATAATGATACTTTCTTAACCCTCTACTGGACATCATGTTTAGTACCTTGCCCCCGGCAACTGGGTGGATTTGGATTAGACCCAAGTTTTACTTTATAGTAAATGGCTTCAGTTTTAATTATTGGAGTTGGTTGCAACATTGACACAGTTGAAGGTATTCAGAACAAGGTGGCCAGGAGAAATCACATTAATTAGTATAAAATTTACCATTACTAACAATAGGCCCTACTTAATTGTTTAATGTTGCTGGATATTAAGCCTAGTAGGTATTTATGTTTATTAATTTGTACAGAAACAAAAAAAGGATTCCCAAACAAAGTTTTTTTTTTCAGAAATAAAGAAAATGATACAAATCAATAAAGAACAGTTTTCAAAAGAATTTGTGTATAGATCTAAGTAATTATTATAAAATAGGAATATAGTATTGCATAGATAAAAATAAAATACTTGACACAAACAATATGAGGAATATTTTTTATCAGAGAAGAGAAAAATATATGATGTCGTTTGAAAATAATAATCTACAGAATGTAGCTTTTGCAGATTAAAATGAAAATTCTCATGCCTATATAATTTATTGAGTAAATGAAGCAAGGCCCAAAACACTAGGCTAAATAATATGCATGGGACAGGCATTGAAAACTACAAATTGCATATAGTGAAGGTTACCCTACTTTTATTGGCTATATCCACCACAGTAAAGATTTATGGCTTTCTTACCTGCTTGTAAAATTGTTAAGGAAAAAGTGAAGTATTGTTAACTTTTTATGGCAGGCCAACTACGGGCTGTGTTCTGGGAACACGTCATCTGTAAGGGGCATTGTTCTCGGCACATGTTGTCATTTTGTGTGTTCTGGGAACATGTTGCCATTTTGTGTGTTCTGGGCACATAATGACATTTAGTGTGTTCTGGGAACATGTTGCCATTTTGTGAGTTCATGGAACATGTTGACATTATTTGGCTGTGTTCTGGGAACATGTTGCCATTTTGTGTGTTCTGGGAACATGTTGACATTATGTGGCTGTGTTCTGGGAACATGTTGACATTATGTGGTTGTGTTCTGGGAACATGTTTGTTTCATTTTTAAATATTATAATAAAACATTTTTAGAAATTCTATATTAGGAATTGTGTATATATATAAATTTATATATTTAATAAGACAATTGGATGAATTATAATAAACAGCAAAAATGATTCAAATAAGTTTAGAAGTATTTGGCTTGCTGTCCTAACAGTGAACTGTATTGCGAGCTTGTTTCCCTAGTGATAATCCATGTTTTTTGTGCCACCCTTCCAATCAAGTATCCAGCTTTTTCTTGGCCTGTATCAAAATGCTGGTCATAGACTTGCTTGACTTGTGTATCACAATATGATTTCGAATGTTTTTCTGTAAATGAAATAAAGGCAAAATATTTTGATACTTTCTTTTGTGGAACTTGCAAGAGAAATAAATTACAAATTTATATTACTATCTCTAATATTTCTTTACTATGACTAATTACTTGAAAAGATAAAGCACTGAACATGATGAATAACAAGAAACAAACATTATCAGAAAAGATTATAGATTTAAAATTGTGTTCATTCATATTGAAGATTAATGAAGTAGACTATCAATATTTACCCTCTTGATGGCTGATACTTTGATTTGATGTCTTTACTTTAAGCTTACACATCAGTCTCTGTGTGGTAAAATATGAAATAATATGCTTCAATAAAACTGTTTCAGTATATTAATTACATTAGATAAGTACATAGTTTTGAGCTCTGTAACAATATGTGTTTCAATTATCATTCAAATATAATACCCTCTATGTTGTACAACTCACTGATTTATTTGAATTTAAGAAAAGACAATAATTAATAAAATATTTTGGATTAAAATCCATTATATTTATTATAACATATAATGCTATCTCTTGCTATAATAATAACTTTAAAAAATGGGTTATGCCTATAGTACAGATACCTGAGGATGAAACTAGGCACAGTGATTAGGCACAGTGAGACTGATTAATATCCATTGTAATTGAACATCAGTTGTAGTTATGAAATCTGCATGGCCAAACACACACTCATAGTCCTGAAAAGCAATTTACACATAGATTAGCAAGAATATCTCACTAATTGTTAAATTAAAGCTAACCCCTATTTAGTGCAATCCATCAAAGTAGTTGCATTTTTGTTAAGCTGTAGACACAATACAAAGTAATGTTTGTTCTGTGATTTACATACTTTTATAAAATAGCAATCAAATTACACACACACATATATATATATATATATATATATATATATATATATATATATATATATATATATATATATATATATATATATATATATATATTCAGTGTAAATTTGTAAATTTTAGTTATGTCTTGTTATTAAATTTATTTACTCGACTGATCTAAACTCACTTTATTTAAACATAATATAGTGGATAAGTATAGTGATTTTATTATTCAGCAATAAAAAGCAGGCCTAAAAGTTTTTAAATAGTAACGTTTGCGAATGAACACATTAAATTCTATGTATTTCAATTTCTATGTCTTTCCCAACTTGATGCATATTACTAACCAAGCACTAAACTATAGTCCTAAATAATCTTGACTCTAATTACTATTTATCGGACAACCTGAATCTTTGCGATACCATGTTATGATATATTATTTTAAAAAGAGCTTACCACTAATTACTAAAATCAATTGTTTTTAGTATGAACTGAGCCGAATACTATCTGCTGCTATTGTCATCACCGGAAATATTATTATTGTGTATGCTTACATGCTTTAAGTTTTATGCACAATATTGGTATATAATATATAGTCTATAGTCTATAGTATATAGCCTAAACTATAGAGTATATATAGCCAATAGGCCTAAATATAACAGCAGCTTGAATAATGCTCATTAGCATGCATTCACTATAAACTATAAAGATAAACAAATATTTCAATTCAATTTAGTTCTAACTAATAATAGTAAATAGTAAATAGGCCTTTTTCTTGTGGTAACAAATTTAAAGTATAGGGCAGTATCCTGAGTATAGTTGTAGTATAGGCATAGTAGATTCTATATTTAAGTATGTGGGCTTTTCATTCCAATGCACCACAATGGATACTACACATGATCAAGCTTGACCTCTGATTTAAAGATTTTATAATTGGGCCTAACAAACAGTGAAAGTACAATAAAAATCATGTAAATTACTAATTTAACCTTCTTACCTCCGCTTCTGCAGATTCCTATTCTATTTCCTTCAAACTTTCTTTTTATGCAGCCGTATGATTAGATTCTAGACTATATTCTAAACTAATCACAACACTAGATCTAAATTTCTAGATTCTATGCAGTATGTATTAAACCTATAGGCCTAATATTTATTTAAAATTCCTATGCGATGTGTCGTGAACTGTAGGTTTCATGTTATTTTTTAATGGCGGAAATCAGTTTAAAATTTCGTTTCCTTCGCTTTGTCATTCTATTTATAGATTCTATTTATAGAGTCGGAGCAAAGAAAAGATAGGCTAATTATCATTGAATTAGTCGGGCGATCCACACAGGAAGTGACCGTATATCTATTAGTTACTCAGTGATCCGATCATTGACAGATACAGAGATAGCCATTCGCATGGGGTGCTCTCTCTCTCTCTCTCTCTCTCTCTCTCTCTCTCTCTCTCTCTCTCTCTCTCTCTCTCTCTGTCCGCAAAATATTTTCGCTGGATATCACGTCAGAATCTTCAGCGATATATGGGGAACTTGATACGGACTTTTGTTGAAAATAATATGGTAGATATTTTAAATCTATAATTCCAATTTTATTTAAAGAAGAAAAATAAAAATTAAAGGCGTATTCGAATGTAGAAAAACAGTTTTAATTATGCAACAGGAAAAGCGTTTATAGTTGTGAAAAAGAACGCATAAAACAGTGACGTCACTAATGTCTATACATTAACTAATGACGTCATCTGCCGTGTTTAGAATAAAAAGAAATGAACTATTTCATTCAACTTTGATTTAGATCTACGTACGCTATGAAATGTATACAATACAATTTTTCCGGCCTAAACTTATACGATGTATTTTATCTAATTGGATTCTAGATCTTGAGATTCTAGATCTAGTCTAGATCTAAATCTACGCAAAAACTAGACGTAGACGCTAATAATAAGTCGCTAAGATCTAGATTTAGACTCTATAATCTATTCCAAAAATAAATCTATATATACAACTATTTCAAGCCTGATTATTTTATAGAAATCTTTTTTTGTTTAGCTATGGAACTGGCTAATTTTGGATAAAAAAATTAGGTTGAAAGAATAGGCATATTCGCGTAAGTTAAGTTTATTTTAATACGCCTTTCATTCTCCTATTTTATAAGGTGCCTAAATAGCTGAAACACACCAAATCAAACTATTTTTTTTTTAAATTTAATATGTGAATCTTCCGATTTTATGCTATAAAGAAAGGAACTAGATCTACTTCATTCAAATTTGATTTAGATCTAGATCTATAGATCTACTCATCAAGACGTACGCTATGAAATATTTACAATTTTATCGGTCAAACTAATACAAATTACTTAAAAACAACATAATGAATAATGACTATTGAATAGCCAGATTTTTAATGGAATCATTTAAGTCACTTAATCAGTGTGTGCCTGTGTTATGTTAAATGTGTCGGATTTTTAGCTAATTAGTTATTTCTTTGCTTTGTCACTAATATCGTTCAGCGTGTAGTAAAGCACATTGCGTTTAGACCAATAACTATTTCATAAATTATTTTTCTCAAACAAGTACAACATTTTAGGAGTACCGATGGCTAGTAAATATATATATATATATATATATATATATATATATATATATATATATATATATATATATATATATATATATATATATATATATATATATATCCCTAAACATAGCTTTAAACCTAACCTTAACCACAACCATAGCCATAACCGGAATTGCAACAACCACAACCAACCAGAAAACAAATAACCATACACGTAAACGTAAACATGAACGTGAAAATTTATGTGCAGCTGGCTATTGTTATTCATGCACAATACAATGTCACAGTTGGTTCGTGCTTATGCGCCTAATAGAAGCTAAGGGCGGCGACCAAATGTGACACGATGAATTCAGGCGTGGAGGAAGAAAATACGATTCATGACGTCAGGCGCGATCATAGCTAGAAAACTAAATTCTTCGGTGGAGGTGGAGTATGGCAAGCTGTATAATAGGGCTGGTAAGTAGGTCACAAACCAGTTCTACGGCTCAATAAAACTTGCATGAACCATAGAACTGATTGTTGACCTACTTACCAGCTCTATTAGACTACTGGGCGTTAATTGACCCGGGGGGGGGGGGTCAATTAACAATTAATAGTGTCTTACGCATACATTACAGCAAGCAACATCGTGTGTGTATTAAGAAATATAATTCTATATAATAGTTTCGCTGCCTGTCTATCTATCTATCTGTCTGACAAGGACGCTCTAGAGAAAACACAAGCAAATTAAAAACTTTCACATTAAGACGGAAACGAAATATGACGTCACATTGGAGCATATAGTAGAAAATAATCTCAAGCCGGAGATTGCACACTGTAATATGACGTCATTGATTCTCGAGTAAACATTTAATTAAAAAGGCAATTTTGTCTATTCTAAGTGGTTTGCGTGAAGAGTTACCTATTCGGGTAGGGGCGAAGCCCCACCCCCGCGTAAGAGCGTCTGAACCCCCCCCCCCCCTCCCCAACTCAAAAGAAATTTCTTCATCAATACTCTATAATAAAATTACCGCCTTATTAATGTGTCTAATCTAAAAAGTAGTTTGCGTGCAGAGTTTCTTTCATGCAATTCTTCGGGTAGTGGCTAAGCGCGACACCAGTGTTTAAAAAAAAAGTGTTTAGCGTGCAGTTTTTTTCATGTATCTCTTCCGGTAGGGGCGAAGCACCGCCCAGGTTCTTCCTTTAGTTTGTATGATCTACAAATGCGACCAGTGTTTCTTTCAGACTTTTTTCTCTCCGGAGAGGGGTGGGGTTACTTGAATTTTTTGGGGGGCCGGGTTTGAATTTTCTGGGAGGCGGCGGACACTGGAAAAAGTATATAATTATATTTCGTTGAATGGGACTGTAGACATGTTTTGGGGTGTGTGGGGGGAGGGGGGGCGGAGCCCCCTCCTCCCAAGTAGAGTTGCCTGAAAGAAACTCTAAATGCGACTTTTGTCATGAATGAGATTAGCTGCATTGTTTAGGGATACGCTTATGCCTATATTTTGTATAAATGAAAGTACCGATTCTGGATAAAACTCCGTTTTCAATGTCATTTTTCGTTTCCGGTTAAATTGAATTAAGGTGGTGATTTTGGTTTTGGTTTTAGTTTAGAGAAAAGAGACAGCACTATCAACCAAGCGCCCGTTGTATCCTTCCTCAACGGGCCATTTTTCTCGTCTATAATAATAGTTTCGCTGTCTGTCTATCTATGTATCTATCTGTGTATGTATCTATCTGAAAAGAACGCTCTAGAGAAAACACAAGCAATTTAAAAACTTTCACAGTGAAACGAAAACGAAATATGAAGTCACATTGGAGCATATAGTAGAAAATAATATCAAGCCGGAGATTGCACACTGTAATATGACGTCATTGATTCTCGAGTAAACATTTAATTAAAAAGGCAATTTTGTCTATTCTAAGTGGTTTGCGTGAAGAGTTACCTATTCGGGTAGGGGCGAAGCCCCACCCCCGCGTAAGAGCGTCTGAACCCCCCCCCCCCCTCCCCAACTCAAAAGAAATTTCTTCATCGATACTCTATAATAAACATTACCGCCTAATTAATGTGTCTAATCTAAAAAGTTGTTTGCTTGCAGTTTCTTTAATGCAATTCTTCGGGTAGTGGCTAAGTGCGACACCAGTGTTTCTTTCAGACTTTATCCTCCCCGGAAGGGGAAACTTTTTCTAATCTAAAAAGTTTAGTGTGCACAGTTTTTTTCATGCATCTCTTCCCCGCCCAGGTTCTTCCTTTAGTTTGTATGATCTACAAATGCGACCAGTGTTTCTT